TCAAAATCGTTCACATCAAAATTAATAATACCATGTCGATCAATATACGTACCAAAATTTTCACCATGAAGATCACCCTCAAATAATAAAAAAATTTTATTTTTTGCAAAGAGAAATTTTTCTTGACTTATTTTATTCTTACATGAATAAATACATGTGAAGCTTCTTTACAATTTTTTAGCCATCGATCATGTTTTGAATCATATAGCATATCACGATAAAATAAAACAGCTGAGCCACGATAAAATGAAAATTCATTTGCAGCCATTTTATGAAATCGATTACGCCATCCTTTAGGATTTTCACGTATATCATTAGTAAAATTTTTTAAAAACGTATCAATTATATAATTTGTTCGTTGTTGATCATTTTCATTAGAATGTCTTTTGTGTGGATGTGATGAATGATGTCGAGGTCGATGTCGACGTCGATAATGATTGTGTGGTGATGGTGGAGATAAATTCATAATATGATTGATCTCTTTTTATTTTTTATAATAAATATGCAAAATCTAACGCATATAGTGATAGGGTTTTATCATAAGCTATTACGAAGAATCACTCAAGTGTAACGCACAACAATAGTGACTTCATGATTAATCATATATATCACCTATTTAACCGGTTTTATAGATAATGATTTTTAACATACATTAATAGATCATGGATTGATTGTAAACAAATAAATTTGCAGAAGAAATTATAGAAAATTAAAATGGCTAGTATTTATTTGAGCAATAAAAATATTGGAATCATCAATAATTAACATACGTTTTAGCAATAATTTGTGAGTAATAAAAAAAACTTTATCAAATAATTTTATATTATTAAATGAACAATAATTAATTCATTAAATAGCAGTAATGATTTTATATTTTAGCAATAAATAAAAGAAAAACTGCATTATTTTTAGTTACAATCGAAAATAAAAAAAAAAGAAATCAAAAATATAGTATATTATTGGGTCAATAATGCTTTTTTTGCCTAAGTGATTTGCCTCTGTTTTTTACGTATTTCTATAAATAAATGTGTTAAATCTGTAATATGATCTAGTGTATCTGATGTCTTTTTTCGAAAAATAAGATCCTCCCTGTTATCACACACATGTAGACCTGTATCTAAGATGACAGAATATACTAGGAATAGATATGATACGAATAGAATATATCTGAATGATTACTTGAAAGAAAGAAATGAACAGTCGAAGAGAAAGCAATATGGGAAAGCATCTGACAGTAGAGAGCTGCACCAGGTTTTCTGAACTCGGCCAGAGGATTTTGGGCCATTCTATTTTTTGGAATGCTGAACTGTTTTTCGAATACACATCTGTGGAGCAACATTTCCACTTTCATACAATGTGATTATAACTGTACAAAACACATTCAGAGTTGAAAGATTTTAAATAAAAAGATTGGAGTTCATACTTGGACTCTATCAGACCCGAATGTATGGACTCGGATGTATTTTGTTTAAAAACCTTAGGCTTTGAATGGTTATTGTACAGTTCTAATTGTATAGTCCGAAAGAGTAAATACTAATCTACAAAATTTGTATTCGAATAACCATTCAATATTCGAGATGATAGAATGATTCCTGTGGTCAGATTCAGATAAATCAATACAGCTAACCTGACAAAAGAGAAAGAGCATGAAAGGTGTAGATACATATGTAGAGAAAGAAAGAGACCGAAAATATAATGTATAGTATAAGACAACTCTGTCTTATAGCACATATTTGTAATGTAGTATAACAAAATGAATCCATAGTGTCCCTTTTTACATAAAATTTACCTTTAATTTAAGTAAATTATTGCTGATTCAGTAAATTTATTGCTAAATTTCATTATTGCTCATTTCAGTTATTTTATTGCTGAATTAAATATAAGTCAATTAAAATCAATAACCTTGAAACAAAAGTACTTATAAGAAACACTTTAACTCGTGCGTAATATTTTTTTTTATTTTAACATTTGATAAAGTATGAAAACGAATAATGAAATGAAAAAAGAAAAATTTACAATAGAAATTTTAGTTTTACAAATTTCAAAATTTTCATCTTTTGTTATGTATAGTCAATGTCAGCAAAGATGGCAAAACATTAACAAAAGTTTAGTGTACATAGAAAAATGTATAAATGAAAAGCGAAAAAGGAATAGATGAATATGAAACAGAAAACTATATTCTAGAATAGAACAAAAAAAATATATCATACGTATCATTTAAACTTTTTGTCCTGTGTCATCAACTTGATAAGTTGATTGTGAGGTTAACAAGTACAGAAACATCTATGTCACGAAAACATAATGAATCATAATAATTACAATAATATGACATCGGAACAAAAAGATAGAATTTGTAATGGTATTGACACACAAATGATGATTGAAAATTTCCAGCGACAAGAACAATTAAAATCAACAAGCCTAACATTGGAACAACAAACAATCAGTGATTCAAATGAAAATAATCAAAATGATGATAATTGGGAATCTGTACAAACTCGTAAAAATAATAAAAAAAAAGAACACTGAAAATAATAATATTGATCATTGTCTACAACCTAAGATGTTATCTAAGTCAAATCAAATTCATTTTTCATTTAACCAAAATCGAATCTCTGCTTCTTCCCACAGCAATCAACATCAAACAAAAGAAAGGTGGAAATCGATTATCAATAACTAATTATGCATTAGATTATGCTTCTAATTACCATTTTCTACCATTTAAATTGAAATGTTATCCAAAAATTAAAGAAAGAAAAGAAAGTACAAAGTTAATTAATGATTTAATTAAGTTCATTACACCTGGATTTTTCCACTCAAAATCCTTGTTTTTCAAAAGATATTTTTGTTGATCTCTGATGGATTGATCCTGAAGAAAACATTCAATTGATTATTAAAACAACTGATCTATATGTTTACTTATGTAAGAAAAGATCGTTATCCAAATCAATGAAACAATGCCACAATTAACCCGATTTCTCCTAATCACTTACCACCACAACACACGGTGATAATAAAATGTGTTAATAATTCATTCATAGATGACGATATTCGTGATGAATTAAATAGAAGATTTGATATGAACTATTGCTGCACCTAATAGAACAGCTCTAGTGCTTTTTATAGATTTTTCAACAGCTTTTGACCGTTTATGGCGGCTAGCACTGTTCCATACTCTAGAAAAACTTGAAATGCCTATTGAATTGAGGAAGTGGATTTTTAATTGACTTCAAAATAGGTGGATGAGAGTATCTCACGGCAACTCAAAGTCCAGATTATTTCCTGTTTTAGTGGGAGCGCCACAAGAAAGTGTTCTTGCTACTCATTTATTTAGATTGTACGTGCACTTTTTGCCCCTGCACTTTCCTCAGATAGTAAGTCATCTTTTTTGCAGATGATTTAACACTTATTATAAAAAGTGATTTAAAAAAACATCTATCTGATAATATAAAATACCTTCAATCTCAAGCTAGAACAGTTTTGAATATTTTAGAAAAATTTTCGGATAACTATATGCTTCCAATGAATGTTGCAAAAACAAAAGCAATTTTAGTTCATAACGCGGTAGTGATCTCAAAATCTGAAATCGAATATAAAGGAATTCAGATTGAGTATGTAACAAATTTCAAATGTTTAGCGATCCATATTAGTGTAAAATTAGGATGGGGTAAATTTATAGAAGATAGATTGCAAAAAGTGAAGAAGTCGTACAATGGCTTGAGAAAAATATTCCATACAATTCCTCAAAACGAGATTAAGATAAGAAGAAGACTATTTCTAGCTTTTTCCCTTCCTCAATTCATCTGGCTATTTTTTTTGCTTCTTTCATTTTACTGAGAAACAAAAACAAAAAATTGAACACATTTTTGGAACAGATCTAAGGTTGGTGTATTCCATTTGGGGATATGACGGTCTCGCTACCCTTGCGTCAAATCGCGAACTTTCTAGGCGTGACTATTTATTTAAATATTGGCTAAGGTTTTAAAATCATTTGAATACAACCCCTGAAGCATATACTTATAGACAAATATTAATAGCTTACTTTATTGCGAAATCTCCATTTAAAACGTATTACAATAGTATGAACTTTAGGAAAAATAGTCGTTTCTCTAAAAGACTTGCTGAACGTACAAAACGTATATATCTGGATGTGATATCTTTCATTGATGTTCATAGAGAACAATATAGATTTTTTTAAAATCAAGCTTAGCCCTAGAATATTTTGTCTTGAAATATTTCCGTGTGAAACCACCGTAAATACATAAATATGTATGTGAATAAGGACAAAGATTTAAAACTTGTTTTTTATGAGTAGAATGATTTCTTTGTTTTTTTAAATATATATCATTGTAATGTGCATATATATACATGTTCTTGTCAAACGTTAACCTTTATGGAACAATAAACTGAATGTTAAAAAAAAACAACTATTGAAATCGATTTGTTAATAAGACGAAAAGGATTCAAAAACTATTGTAGACATTTATCAATAAGCTAAACCTTATACGGTCTTCAAACTGAAATGATTATACAAAATTCATCTTTATGCTTATTAGTTAATAAGAATCAAACTCGAGTTTTAGATAACAATGAAATGTAATGCTTCGAAAAATATCATTGGTTACAGAACAAAAATGTATAAAGAATTGAAATGCTGAAATTCAATCTGTTTGAACATAAAAAATAAAGTAAAAACAGATTTTATTTCATATCAAAAAAAAATAAATCATATGAATGATTTCAATCAAGATTTATTTGAGAAAACAATACGATTCTAATATCAGAGTACTATCTTACTTGAAAATATCTTATCCTTCTATTTTATAATTATTATGTGTTAAATCGAATTAAACTTATTTCAAAATGCTGCTAGGACAACCTCTATGGCACTAAAATGTGAAACACAATGTAACTGCTGCTAATCATAGCAAGATTGTTTTAGTCTATCCATTTTGGGATACATTTCTTCGCCATCCATTTTCACATTTGTTGCATTACTTTTGTATCAAATATTATTTATGACATTGAGATACGTGGCACCGATTATTTTTGCTTTATTTGATTAAATAGGAAAAGAAAAAAGAAGAATATGTTTTATTGTCTTTTTTAATAAGTTCACTATGGATAAGAAGAACCAGAGTAGGGTTGTGAATGAGATTCATCAACTTGTAACATAG